CATTGCTGGTGGGAATGCAAAATGGTACAGCCACTGTGGAAAGCAGTGTGGCCGTTTCTTACAAAACTAAACATATTCTTAGCATATGATCCAGCAGTTTTGTTCCTTGGTATTTTCCTGAATGAATTGAAAACTTATGTCCATGCAAAAACCTGCACGTGCATGTTTATAGCAACTTGATTCATAATTGCCAAAATTTGGAAGCAGCCAAATGTCCTTCAGTAAGTGAGCAGATAAGCAGTGTTACGTCCAGACAATGGAGTATTATTCAGCATGAAAAAGAAACAAGCTATCAAGTCATGAAAAGTCAAAGAGGAAACTTAAATGCATATTATAAAGTGAAAGAAGCCAATCAGAAAAGACTACATACTGTATGATTCTAACTATATGATGTTCTGGAAAAGGCAAAACTGTGGAGACAGTAAAAAAGATCAGTGGTTGCCAAGGGTTAAGAGTGAAGGAGGAATGAATAGGCAGAGCAGCGAGGATTTTTAGGGCATATTCTGTATGATACTACAGTGGGGGGGTACATGATATTATACATTGTCCAAATGTAAACTCTAGACTTGCAGTGATAATGATGTATCATTATAGGGTCATCAGTTGTAACAAATGTACTGCTGTGGTGGGAGATGTCAACAGTAGGGGAGGTTGCGTGTGGGTGAGGGTAGGGAGTATGTGGGAACTCTGTACTTTCTGCTCAGTTTTGCTGTGAACCTATCTTTGCTCTAAAAAATAAAGTTTCTTAATTTAAAAAATGTTTAAGACTTGTTTCAAAATAATATATTGTGGAGTGCACATGGATGGATGGGACAAGATTGCCCATGGGTTTATGGTTGCTGGAGCTGGGTGGTGGGTACATTAGGCTTATAATGACTTTTGATATCTGGTAGGGCAAGTCCCCCTACTTTATTCAAAACTATCATGGCCTTTTTATTAAAATATTTATTATGGAAAAATTTAAACACATACAACAGTAGACAAAATAGTATAAATAATGCTGTATTAGTTTAGACAGTATAATCTTGGCATGAGAATAGACAGATAGACCATTTTTATAGAATAGAGGTTTCATAATAAGACCCTCACATATGTGGAAACTTGATATATGACATAGATGGCATTATAAAAATGGGTAAAGACTTGGGCAATAGGTATAGAACAGTGGGAACATTTATATAGAAAAAATAGATTCCTACCTCACACCTGAATTCCCATGAATGTATTAGCTGATATGTTGGTATATGGTATTGCAATTAACGAATGAAGTAGTTACATGTACTGACAGTCTCAAAAACAATATTGTGGGATAAGGGGTAATTGCAGAAGAATACTATGCAACGAGAGCATTAAGCTTTTAAAAACTTGCAACAGAGAGTAAAGGTGTAAAATATACATGGTAATGACAACTCCAGATTCTTTTTGTGTGTGTGTGTGTGAGGAAGATCAGCCCTGAGCTAACATCCATGCTAATCCTCCT